CCACCAGATTTCCAAAATTACACTAGTCCCATTTGCCTGTGTTTGGCCTATATCCCTCTAAACCTTTCCTATTAGTGTAACTGTCCAAATATATTTTAAATGTTGCAACTGTACCTGCATCTACCACTTCCTCTGGCAGTTCAACTTTGCTAGGGTCTCTGAATTAATAGCCTAGTAATAATACCACTGGGCCATCATTTTGGTTTTCAGCCAGCTTGCACCTATTTATCGCAGCCAAATATTCTGTTGTCTTTACAGCATTATGAAAATCAGCCTGAAAAGTTGCCTCTATGTTGAAAGGCAGTGTTCGTTGAGGAATAGAACATGCAGTATAAGAGTTTGGATAATCTCACTGCTTCAACACTATTATTCAGATGTGAGAGATGAGACTGTCACACTCATCAAAAACAATCATGAGTTAAGTATGAAACAAAACAGTCTCAGCAGGTCAGCTGCATATACAGAGAGAAGCGAATTTATCATTTTAAGTTGATGACTTTCATCAGAATCAAAAATATTTAGAGATGTTCCTGAGGTGATGGTCACATGATATTGTCACTGAGCTAGTCATCCAGAGACCCAAGCTAATGTTCTGGGGAAATGGGTTTGAATCCTGGCATGGTGAATATTGGAAGAATATTGGTCAAGTTTGGATTCAATGAAAAGCACTGAAATTAAAACTAGTCTAAGGGCGACCATGTAACCATTATCAATTGCTATAAAAGCCCATGTGGTTCACTAGTGGGAAGGAAATCTGTCACCTTTACCCAGTGTGGCCTAAATGTTTCACCAGACCCACAGCAATGTGGTTGAATCTTAACTGCCCACTGAAATGGCCTCGCAAAATACTCAGTTGTAAGAAAACAGCTATAAGTCCAAAGAAAGGAGTTAAACCAGATTGACGCCCCTCCTCATTTCAAATTAGGCACTGGAAACAACATTGGCAAAAATAGCCCTGCTGACACTCCTTATCAATCTGGGACTTTGTACCAAAATTGGGAGAGCTGTCCCAAAGACTAGCTGAGCAACAACCTGACATAGTTATACTTTCAGTTTCATACCTTACAGACAACGTCCTAGTCATCACCATTGACATCACCATAGCCATCACCATACCCACAACATCCCGGGATATATCATGTCCCATGGGCATGGCAGACACAATGTATGCAGTGGGGAGGGAGTTGTCCGGGGAGTCCTTAACTTCAACTTGGGACACCAGGAAGTCTCGTGGCATAAGGTCAAACATGGGCAAGGAAACTTGCTGCTGATTACCACCTTGTGCTTCCCCACACTGCCCTTACCTTGCCTGATGATTCAGTGCTCCTCTAAGTTGAACACCATTTGGAAGAATCAATGGGGATAGAAAGGGGACATACTGTACTCTGGGTGGAAGACTTCAATAGCCATCACCAACAGTGACTCGGGAACATTACTACTGACCGAGCTCTAAAGAAGTTTACTGCAGGACTGCGTCTGTGGCAGATGGTGACAGACCCAGCAAGAGAGAAATACGTCCTTCCCCTCATCTTCATCAGTCTACAGTCCTGCAGATGTATCTGTCCAGGACAGTGTTGGTAAGAGTGACCACCACACAGTCCACATGGAGATGGAGTCCTGCCTTCATATTGAGGATATCCTTTATCGAATTCTATGCTAAAGGAGATGGACGTCAAACAGATCCCAGGAACTCAAAACTGGGAATCCATGAGGCACTGTGAAGCATCAACAGCAGCAGAATTGGATTTGACCACAATATGTAACCTTGTGCTCCATCATTTACATCAACCTACCTTTATCATCAAACCAGGAGATCAACCTTCGTTCAATGAAGAGTGCAAGAATACCAGGAGCAGCACCAGGCTTACCTAAAAATGAGATGTCCGCCTGGTGACGCAACAACGCAGGATGACTTTTGTGCCAAACAGAAGTAGCATTCAACAAATAAAATTAAGCTCAGATCTAAGCCCAGCAGTCCTGCCATGAAGGTGGTGGACAATTAAGCATCTCTCAGGAAGAGGAGGCTTCACAGGTATCCCTGTCCTCAATGATGTGGGACCTCAGTTCATTGGTACAAAAGAAATGTTTCACCCAGAAGTGCCGAGTGAATGATTCATTTCTCCTGAGGTCCGCAGTGTCAAAGCTGCCAGTATTCAGCAAATTTGCTTTACTCCATAAGATATCAAGATAATGTCAAAAGTTGCCCAGTTGTGGCCTGTCTACAAAAGGCAAAACAAATTCAACCTGGCCAATTACCACCCATCTGTCTATTCTTAATCCAACAATAAAGTGATAGAAATGGTCATTAACTGTGCTGCCAAGTGTCATTTACAAAGGAATAACCTGCTCATTAACACTCACTTGGGGTTCCAAAAGGGCAACTCAACACCTGACCTCATTGCAGACTTAGTCGAAGCATGAAAAAAGTAACTGAACTCCAGAGATGGAGTAAGCTTTACTGCCTTTTACGTCAAGACAGTATTTGACTGACTCTGCCATCAAGGACCCCTAGCAAAACTAACGTCAATGGGAATTGAGGTAAAGCTCTCCACTGGGTTGGAGTCATTGCCAGCATAAGGGAAGATGGCTGTGATTGTTGGAGATCAACCTCATCTGTCCAGGGACATCACTGCAGGAATTCCTCAGGGTAGTGTCCTAGGCTCGATAAAGTTCAGCTGCTTCCTTAATGATTTTCCTTTTAACAAGAGGTCAGGAATGTGATGTTCAGCACCATTCACAAATTTTGAAGCAATCATGTAGCAAGATCTGCGCAATATCTAAGTTTGGGCTGATAAGTGGCAGGAAACATTTAAGCCACATAAATATCTGGCAATGATCGTTTTACTGAATGCCCATTATTGAGATTTTAGGAGTTCCCTTTGATCAGAAGCTGATCTGGAGCATGCATGGAAATACTATGGCTATGAGAGCACACCAGAGGCTGGAAATCCAGCAGTGAATAACTCACTTCATGTCTACAGATCAAAGAAAATGATAATGAGACAAGTACACCAGTATTAAAAGAGTCGAGAGCATTGCTACCCAATAGGAATTTAATGATCACTGAATTTGTGAAGATTTGTATGTGCCACATTATAATAAAGATATGTAAAGGATAGAACTGAAACTTTTAACAATCTTGCAGCAGTGCCCTGGGATTGAAGGACAAGACTAAAAGTGAGCAATAATGCTGTGCCTCTGTACTGCAGCTCCATCAATGAATATTTTTAGTGGGAGCAATTAATTGTTACACAGCATTCATATGCATGTAGCTTCCTTCAATGGGCAGCTGTTTGCAACATTCCTTAATGATGGATGGCCACAGTTTCTTTTAATGTCTAGGATTGTTATTCCTGCAGAAATTTCCACTTACTTCTGATGTAGCCATGGATTGTGCCAACAGAGTCTGGGGCCATGTTCTCAATCATACGGGTCCATTAGATTAACATCTCTCTCTAAAGGAATCAATTTGCCTAATAACTGTGAACAGTTTGGCACATCTATCGAGTGTTTAGAATTTTTTTTTAAATTCATTCACAGGATGAGGGTGTCACTGATTAGGCCAGCATTCATTGCCCATCCCTAATTGCACACAGAGCAATTAAGAGTCAACCACATTGCTGTGGGTCTGGCATCACATTTGGCCAGACCAGGTGGGGATGGCAGTTTCCTTCTCTAAAGGATGTTTGTGAACGAGATGGGTTTTCCCAACAATCGACAATGGTTCTATGGTCATCATTAGATCATCATGTTGGGATTTGAACCTGGATCCCCAGGACATTATCTGTTAATTTGGATTAACAGTCTAGTGGAAATACCACCAGGCCATTGCCTCCCCTTATATTGGACACTATTGATCTAGAAGAGGTATAAATGGCACTAACAGAATGATCACCAACTGATTGTCAAAAAATATTGGTTGATGGTTATAATTTGAAATTGTTGAATTCATTGTTGAATTCATTGTTGAGACCAGAGCAATGAAATGGCTCATTGAAAGATTATGTGTTGTTCCTCAAATTCCTGTTGAGCTTCACAGGAATGGCTGTTCATTGAGAGGTAGAAAAAGTAACGTGAGAGTTTGGAGATCACGGCCGGAAGTTGAGTTAAAACGACAGGCAAATAGAACCTCGGGGTCGCACGTGAGATATGAACTGAGCTCTTCCACTGGACAGCCATCCAAATCAGGTCTAGAAATCTCACTTTATAATTAAGTTTGGATTTGTGAATGGCTTAGGCACTATCCAATATGCCTCCTCCATTTTAATGCTGTATTCTGTAACCTCAATCTATATCGAAGAGTTTTTTCTAAAGTTACCATACTTACTGGAAATACAAGATGCACCTGAATTTTGAAAGGAAAAAGTTGGCACATATTTGGCCAAAACCTTTGGATCATGAGGTGCACAGCAATTTTAGGCATTATTTCTCCAGAAGGAGTGTGCCACTTATTGTCCAGCAAATATCTGACAGTATCAGTATGTTCTCTCTGCTTTCAGTTTTCTGTTGTCTTGTTGTCTTGTTCTCTTGTCTCCCTGTGCAACAAAATTTTCTGGGCTCAGTATGAGTCGGAGACTTTTCAAATACCATTCTGACACTTGGGTGAAGTGGGCTGGAGCAGTTTGATTCATGTAGGAGCTGTACTGCCATAACAAAGATAGAATTTGCAGTGTTATAGTCCTAAATTGCAGCAAATGTTTATTTATGATGCAACTCAATGCCAGGTGGACTGGATCATTAAATTTATATTTAACTAAGATTTAACTTGGAGGACTGCTAAGTTTAGCATCTATACATAAATTTCTTGATCACGTTAAATGAATGTACTTGATTATTAACCCTTGGGCAGCAGCGATGTTACATGAGAGAGAGAGAGATCGAAGACAGAATTAATAAATGTTAAAATGTAGAATTTCTGTTGCTGCTCCCAAACCCATTCTTCTCACATCAAAATGCCTTGGTCATTTTGTAACAATGTTTTCCAAACAATCTTTCTTCAGGTCAAAAACATCAGCCTGTCTGAAGGAGAGATGCTAACAATTGAAGGGCTCGATGGAAATGAACCAACTGTTCTTGCCAATGAGTCGATTTTAATGAAGGGGCAGGTGATTCGCAGCCCAAGCAATCAAGTTTCTATCCACTTCCAGAGCATTCAACTTGGAAATCCAGGCTCATTCCAATTCCATTATCAAGGTAAGTGCTTACACACCAGGGCTGTAATGATGAGGTGAAAGCAATGCCACTATTTTGTGGCTGAGTATTTTATCAAATCTGAAAGCAATAGGCCTGACTCACAAAAGAGCACTCACTCGCTAGATCTTGCGCAAGTGGAAATTTATATCCAATTGTGTGGACTTGCACTGATATTTATCAGGAGTTGTAAGAGACTCATATGTACAATACATGCTCACTATTGACATCTTCCAATAGGGTTCCTTTAAAAGCTTAGTTTGAGCTACTGTAAAATATCTTCCCAAAAAACTGGTTTATGTCAATAATGAATATGTTTGTAGTGTAATGACTTGGAAAATTGATTAAGACAAAATAAATATTTAGCACTATTTTAAACTGCTTTGTATTGTTTCCATTCCTCTGTCTTCAGAGGCTGGTAGGTGATAATCAACCCTGGTTCAGTGGAGAGTGCAGGAGGGTATGCCAGGAGAAGCATCAGGCATACCTAAAAATGAGGTGTCAGCCTGGTGAAGTTTCCAAACAGGACTACTTAAGTGCCAAACAGCATAAGCAGCAAGTGATAGACAGAGCTGAGTGATCCTACAACTAATAGATCAGATCTAAGCTCTGCAGTCAGGCACACAGAAAGATTGTTATGGTTGTTGGAGGTTGGACCCCTCAGCTCCAGGATATTCTGCAGGAGTTCCTTAGGGTAATGTCCTTGGCTCAACCATCTTCAGCTGCTTCTTCAATGACCTTCTCTCCATCATAAGGTCAGAAGCGGGGATGTTTGCCAGTGACTAGTAGTAAATAACATTTACATCACACAAAGGCCAGGCAATGACCATCTCCAATAAGAGATGATCTAACCACCATCTCTTGACATTCAATTGTGTTAGCATCACTGAATCCCCTACTATCAACATCCTAGGAGTTATCAGTGCACCAGAAACTCAATTGTACTCACCATATAAATACAGTAGCTGCAAGAGCTGGACTTATATAAATGACACCAAAATTGGTGGTACAGTTGACAGTGAAGAAGTTTATCTAAGATTACAATGGGATCTTGATAAATTGGGCCAGTGGGCTGAAGAGTGGCAGATGGAATTTAATTTGGATAAATGCAAATTGTTGCATTTTGGAAAATCAAGTAAGGTCAGAATTTACACAGTTAATGTCAGGGCCCTGGGTAGTGTTGTTGAACAAAATGACTTAGGGGTTCAGCTACATAGTTCTTTGGAATTTGCATCATGGGTAGAAGGGGTGGTTAAGAAGGCATTTAACACACTTGCCTTCGTTGCTGAGACCACGGAGTATAGGAGTTGGGATGTTATGTTGAGTTTGTACACGACATTGGTGAGGCCACTTTTGGAGTACTGTGTGCAGTTCTGGTTGCTCTGTGATAGGAAGGATAGTATTAAATTGGAGAGGGATCAGAAAAGATTAACCAGGATGTTGCCAGAACTGGAGGGTTTGAGTTATAAGGATAAGCTTGGATTTTTTTCACCGGAGCATAGGAAGTTGAGGGGTGACCTTGTAGAGGCTTATAAAATCATGAGGGGCATAGATAATTTGAATAGCAAAGGTTGTTTCCCTAGAGTGGTGGGGGTGGGGGGGGGGGGTGGGGGGTGGGTGTTCAAAACTAGAGGTCACATTTTTGAGGTGAGAGGAGAAAGATTTAAAAGGGACCTGAGGGGCAACTTTTTCACTCAGATAGTGGTTTGTATGTGTAATGAACTGCCGGAGGAAGTGGTAGATGCAGGTACGGTTACAACATTCAAAGACATTTGGACAGATACATGAATAGGAAAAGTTTGGAGGGAAATGGGCCATGTGCAGGCAGGTGGAACTAGTTTAGTTTGGGAAGCCTGGACCGCATGGACTGGTTGTACCGAAGGGTCTATTTCCGTGCTGTATGACTGTATGACTCTACAATTGCAGTGGCTGCAAGAGCAGATCAGAGACTAGGAATACTGCAATGAGTAACGCCCTCCACCACCGACGCTCAGTAGTAGCAGTGTGTACTATCTACTCGATGCACTGTAGAAATTCACCAAAGATCCTTCGGCAGCACCTTCCAAACTCACGACCACTTCCATTTTGAAGGACAAAGGAAGCAGATACATGGGAAAACCTCCACCTTCAAGTTCCCCTCCAAGCCACTCACCATTCTGAATTGGAAATATATTTCTGTTCCTTCAGTGTCGCTAGGTCATAATCCTGAATTCCCTCCCTAATGGCATTGTGAGTCAACCCATTGCACATGGACTGCAACAGTTCAAGAAGGCAGCTCACCACAGCCTTCTCAAGGGCAACTAGGGACTGGCAAGAAATGTTGGCCAGCCCAGCGATGAATTAAAAAAAATATTCAAGGCTTTCACTTAATCTCAGGAGATTGGAGTGACTATAGCACAAATGTGTAGTGCAAAAGTTGGTGAGTGGTGAGAGTCTACTCATTACACCAACAAATAATAAAATATATTTTCTAATCACTATTTGTAATAAATGATGGACAAGACTTTCTCTGGTTACAATTCTTTAAGAATGTAAAAGTATCTGCTTTTGAACAATATTTTTTCTGAAACTCAGTATGTTTTGGTTTCATTCTTACCAATTCATGTGAGAGGAATCTTACCCTCACTTCACGGGTCATTTCAATGCTTTAGCTGAACAGTCATTGCATAAAATGTCAGCAGCATCCCAAGAGCATCTTTCCATTACAACAAATTTATATGTTTGCCATGGCTCATGTTGAGTGTTTATCAGTTCTTTCACTTAGTGTTCTTGATTTGCTGCACACTTGTCCTTGTCTGAGGATGGAAATCCACACTGAATCAATTCTCGCTTTAGTGTCCTCCTAGCTCCTCCACTGTCTGTGCCCATCACCCTCCTGGCTGTTCCTCCTCTTGGTGCCCCTTGTGACTCCTCCAACTCTCAGTGCTCCTCCTGGCTGCTAGCACACTCACTGCCTCCTCACTCACCACACCCCACCACCCCAGCTCCTCCATCCCCTCGGTCCTCCTCTTTGTTCCTCCCCCTCCTCTTAGTGGCCTCTTGCCCTACATTCCTACATTCCTACATTCCTTGGTACCTCTCCAGGCTTCTCCCCCTCTCTTGTCGGTCCTGCCTCCTCCCCCCTCTTGCCCCTATTGGCCCTGCCCTCTCAGTGCCCTTCCACTTCTCCCCCCTCCACTTCCCCACATCAGTCCAGGTTCCTACTCTCTCAGGACCATTCTATGTCACAGTACTGTTTCACTACATAAATAAGTTTAACAATTGCTGAAGCTCAAGTTTTCTGGGCAAGGAATAAGAACACATCCTCATGAATTGAAAGACAATGGGACACCGTGAATGCTAGAATGTTGTGTATACTTATGACCTATGTTAAGGAAAGCCCACACCATTTCTACTGCATGTATCCCATTAGTGAATATTTTTGAGTTGATTGTGTATCGTTTGGTTAGTTTTGGCAAGTTCCCAGCTAGTGTTATTTCTGTTTAGGGAATGGAAAATAAAGGGCAAGCAAAATGTTCTCCTTGCAGAAGACATAACATAATTCTTTGCTAATCCATACTTTACTGACTTCACTCAAGCCATTTCCTTCAAATCAGGCTGTTTGTCACCGTGAAAGGGATCAGTAATTTACAGAAAAGGCAATGAGAGAGATAGCGATGAGTGCAATTTTTCTTAATCACTTTCTGGGCCAGCATTTATTGCCTGTCCCTGGCTGCCCTTGAGAAGGTGGGGGTGTGCTGCCTTTTTGAACTGCAGCAATAACACAGGAAGGCAAGATAACCAAGAACAAAGAACAGGAACAGGACCTTTGGCTCACCAAGCATTTTATAAACAAATGGAGCACGAGCACATTCCTTCAAGAAAAGGAATATGTCAGCAAACTATTTATACAAGTCTACCATTTTTGGAAGATGCTCTTCTTGATTCCAGCAGGATTTGGAAGAGCAGCAATACTGGTTGAAAATTCCCAACAACTCGATTCCAATCTGCGTAATGGCTCTAGATAGGATTTAGATTTGTCAGGTTGAATTTTACCAGGAGTTTATCACGGCTGACACTTACCTGCACATACAACTGTACATACCTATCCCAATCATTGGTTAAGCATCAGACCACACATCCCAGCGTCCTTAGCCACATCCCATCTTATGACAATCTCTAAGTCAATGCTACTTATTCTCCAATGCCCTAGTGTGTCCTCACATCTTATCATTGTTCAATGTAGGACCATCACATACGGGGAAATATTTGCCAACACCAAAGCAAACAGAAAAAGAAACGGACATGTATCTCTCAGAGTACACAGGGACTGCTTGCAGATTGAGCATCAACAATTTTATAATCAATGCATCATTACTGCACCCAACCCCCCTCTACGGAACTGGGTGTCAAATAAGTTCCTTTCCAGTCCCACCTCCTCCCTTCCATTCCAGCTACCAACAGGTTTCATCTCTCCCATTGGCCAACCAGGTCGCACCTACTACTGATATCCACCTATCATCACCATTCCGCCACCCTCCACCCCCAACTTCTTTATGTGCAGCTCCCCCTCTACCCACATTCAGTCCTGAAGAAGAGTAATATCCGAAATGTTGACATCTCCTCCTCCAGATGCTGCCTGGCTTGCTGTGTTTTTCCAGCCTTCTGTTTGTCTACCTTGGATTCCAGCATCTGCAGTTTGTTTGTCTCTAATTAAATCCTGTCTGACTTGTAGCACCCGATGCTACACCTCACTAGCACGCTGAAGGTGATATTCTTCATGCTCAATGTCCTCATTATCCCCCTCAGAAGACTGCTTTTGCCCTGCCAGTTCATTGGCCTCCATCTTTGCCTGTTCCAGATATGCAGAGCACAGCATGCTGGGATTATTTAACACACAATATCTGGACTGTACTGTAGACCATTCCAAGCAGTGGAACTTCATCCTCAGCAGGCCTATCGTTTGCTTCCCCAAGGCCCTAGCTGTGAATGCACTATGCCCTCAGCCGGGGAGTTATGTAATA